AAAAACTATCAGGTCTGTGCAGTGTCGTATGACATCTATGTACCAAGTTTCATGAAATGTGATGATTAGTACTTGAGATATCAGTGGAAAAACCGAAAATTGACTAATCATTATGCAAATTAGGTAATTAGTATCCACGGATTATTACCAAAAACTAATCAAAACCTAGCATTAGTTCAGAGCATCTATGTACCAAGTTTCATCAAAATCCAATGAGTGGTTGTTTAGATATCAGTGGAACAGTCATGGAACCACTAAAAAATAGCTAATTATCATGCAAATTAGGTAATTAATATGCACGGATTTTTACCAAAAATTAATCAAATCTGCGCATATGTTCAGAGCATCTATGTACCAAGTTTCATCAAAATCCAATGAGTGGTTCTTTAGATATCAGTGGAACAGTCATAGAACAGCTAAAAATTAGCTAATTATCATGCAAATTAGGTAATTAACGAGCATGGATTTTTACCAAAACCTAATCAAATCTGCGCATTGGCCCAGAGCATCTATGCACCAAGTTTCATCAAAAACCAATGTATGGTTCTTGAGATAGCAGTGGAACAGTCGGACACACATACACACATACACACATACAGACACACTAACTGCAAAGACTCCCATTTTGTGCTTCGCACATGGGAGTCAAAAATGGTGTCTAGTTTGAATGCTGTTTCTGGAGATTTTGGCAAACTTTAATGGAAAATTGTCATATATTTTTTTTTTTACCACCGGACATCAACAGAAAGGATAGTATAGAAAGGAGAGCATGCCTAGACACTTTCTCTGTGATTCCTTAGGAATTGTTGTTGTAAGCACTCGAAATCTTGTTCTAGTTACAGTTGCTAATAATTAAAACATTTGAAATTTTAAGTCAAACGTTCATCTGTTGAATTTCCGGTTGTGAAATGCGTATTTTGACCTTTCACACCTACACAAACCCAGTGCGCATGTGTGATGACCGTTGTTTCATAATGCGCATATTTTATAGTCACATTAAAAAAATGGCGGGGTTGTATCATACTCCGCTAACTCGTTATTTGTGTAAACAATCGCAAACTATCATTGACATCAAAGATGAGGTAGACAATGTCCTCATCAGGATTAATTTGGGTTGAAACAAAAGGAAATAAGCGAGTTAAGAGGCTTAAGTGGCCACTTGATAGGCATCGTGGCTCCTTCCGTTAGTACCTTCCATGGATATACATACCTCATTATTAACATTTCTCCAGTAAATAATTATGCTTTGAAATAGGGTAGAAATCTATAGACCATGAGTTTGAATATAGCACTATCTGTCTATTAGCAGCGCCATTTTGTTTGTTGTTTCATGACAAGAAAATTCAGGATAAAAGATCTCCAGAAATGTTCTTCACTGAATAAGATAATCTTTTTCTAACAACTAGCTGGAAAATTGTAATTTTGAGCACCAGTGACACCTCAGTCGTGCAAGACTTTATCTTGAATCTCAACAGCATATTATAGTTCTGTATGTTCTGTATCTGTGTGTTGGCGGTCAGAATATTACTTACAGACGCTTCCCTTCCCCTCAAAACAATATGGCAGGATTAGCCTGTTTGTACGACAACAAACATACAGATCTGAACACGGTTCTATTTATTAAGGATAATTCACAGACGTTTTAGAGCATATTGATAACAGTACAATATTTTCTCTTCAAGAAACGTTGCCTAGAAATATTGACAAATATTGTACCAACTACGATGTTTTCTATCCGTTGACATATTTTGTTTCAAAGTACCTACCTCGACTGTACCTTCGGGAAAACTGAACCGTTTTTGTACAACAGCTGTCAACTCGCGGATACGACGACCTTTCTCACCTAGAACATTTTGTGTCCGTGTAGCAAGAATAATAATTTCAGTTCTGGTTGGTGTTACACGCACTTCGACGCCACTATAACCATCTTCGGCGAGTTCACGGGTAAAGAACTCATTCAATTCTGCTTTGAAGACACCGTCCGCGACGAACTGCAAAACAAGTCAAAACATATAATTAACAGCGGCACAAGAACTGCCATCGAACATACGTATGAAGTTACTACATGACTAAATATACCGAATGTACACAGTACACATGTGTTACAATACACATCATAACAGCAATGGAGACATCCCATCAACAATCAGTGTAAAATCCGCTTAAATGTTAGTCATCACGTCACATATCCTGACAAAATGATATCTACAATAATCCATAAATATGTAGGGATGTATATTTTCATTATACAGAAGCTAAATTGGCCAAAAATCTTTATTTTACCTTCCTCTTCTTAGAGATTTGAGCCGCCATTTTGAAAGGCCAGGGAAAAGAGAAAGAGTCCCGGATGTCCAATTTCGTAGTAGCCGTTGATGGCGCAATTCATTTGCATGGACCTATCGTAGTCTTGAATTCGAAAAAAAAAAGCGATCATTGTACTTTAATTTTTCCACATTTCAAAATTTTGAGATATTTTTTTTTTAAGAATCATGACTTGCGTTAACAACACAACTTATTGACTGTATTTATTGTTGAATAGAACTTTTGTTGTTTTCCACATAACCTTATCAAGTAAAAATCCGGAAAATTTAAAAGCATCACAAATTCGTGCTTGCTGAACAAAAGGTTTCATTAAATAGACGAAAAAACACGAATACCCATAGCGTTAAACGGTGGTGGTCGTCGGGCAGCTCGTGTTCAAATTTCATGTAAACAAACAATGTATTTTACACGCGTTGTATACGACGTCGCTATGAATCCTATACCGAACACGACGCGACGACCGCCGCCCCTTTAAGTCCTACTCCTGACTGCCATTTTGATTATCTATATTGTCTGAGGTTGTTCATAATTCAAAAAAGAATTCGATTCCGACCATTTTTTCCTTTGAACTTATAAATATCAAGAAATTCTACCTCAAAAGTGTTTTAGTCCATTCCATGGATATATGGAAAAAATGCAACCGGAGTTACGTAAGGTCTAGCCACTCACATTTCGAAGAAAACAACATTAAACAGATTTTTTGTCGCAGTTTTTGCTCTGGTGAGTGTTTAAAAAAACATATTATCGATGGTGGCAGTTTCTTTATTAGAAAGTATGAGTAGTGTACTTTTATCAACTTTTATTTGCGATAATATTTGACGTCGCAAGTTTGTGTTACGCAAATATATGGGAAAAACCAAAGCTCTTCTGAGCCGGTCAAATCCCCAAGTCCGAAATAACAACTTTAAGGACATCACATTTCTCAGAAATTACTAAAACACCACCAGAGAGACTGAAGACCGACAAAAGGAGAAGCTATGGACCCACAGCTACAGGGTTGGGGGGGGGGGGTAGCAAGAGAGGACGCCGTCCGATCTGAATAGACCATTTCCCCGGAAGTAGCGAGATACGCCTGTTTTGTCATAGCTGAAAATACAAACATGTCAATTTGCTGATAGTCGATAGAAGGGAATTTTATTTTTGTGACAACGATTGGTGCACCAAGAAGCATAGTATCACGCATGCAACTTTACATTACACCCTAAAACCGACATGCGCGCGCATGCGAAACGCCGTATCTTCGACGTCCGGGAAAGTCGTCTATAGAACTTTCCGGAGTCAGTTCTCCGTAGCCCATCGTCGAAACAACAACGTCCCGTTTACGAACAGATAAAATGATTTCAGAATAATTCTCAACGAAATATAGAACCATAACATAATATTCAAGTTCTAAAATGTTGTCTATGATTGCAAAACAATCCAACCGACAACCAGTTTGTCGCCATTAGATTTTTGCTGGAGTTTTGAGTTCTACGCCTGAATCAGTTTTATTGCGTTCAAAATTGTTCCATTTCAAACTGCGCATGCACACACTCAGCGATTTCTCGAAATGCATACTAATTAGGTAACTTATCACTGGTAAAAGTTAATTTTGAAAACTTTTCGAGCAATAGTACTAGAGAGAATATCGACGTGCTTCTGCATTTTCCACGAATTTCGTAATTTTCTATGATTCTACGAGAAAACTTGTGATTACTTTGAACAGGCTGATCAAAAACGTGTCAAAAAACATATTTACGTCAGTTTTTTGATTATTTTTTTCAGCTCGTAATGATAGAATCAGTCAACTATCATGTATGCTATCGGAAAGCATTTTGGCACAATTTTACTGAAAAGACGAGTTTTTCATTGCTCATGAATATCTATTAATGCATATGAGACGATTGTTTAACCAATCATGTCACCCCCCTACACAGCTACATAGCGACGTACACAACGCGTGTAAAAAATACATTGTTTACATGGAATTCGAACACACGCTGCGCGACGACCACCGTCCTTTAACCTGTAAGTTAGATATATTATAGATTCACACAGTTATCTATGTATTGGTGAAGGAGTGGATTTGCGTAAGTGACCTGGATTGCGAGTTTCGTTCAAGTTCACACACCAGGTCTGAAACCATAGTCTGTTAGAGAGATATGTGTGGTATTTTTTTAGATAACAGATAACCTTTGTTTCACGGT